GTGCTGGGGGCCGCAGGTCAGAGAAGAGCATCTCTGGGCCCGTGAGGCCACGAGAGCAGAGTGTGGGGCCGAGGCTGGCCCCGTGGGCGGGGGGCCACGGCTGGCACTGCATCCGGCTCTCCCTCTCCCGGCGCCAGCCCAGCCGCCGTTCCCCCATGCACTGCACACCCTTCTCCCCAGAGGCCATCAGCATGGGGGGGACTCTAGGCTCCCCTCCCCCACAAGTGGGACCCCTCTCTCTCCACAAAGACTCCTTTCTTTCCGCAGACACCTTCTCGTTCGGAGGGGCTGCCAGAAAGGGCCTTGAGTGGCCGGGACTCAAGGACTGGGCTGCTGAAGTGGCCTGGCCATTGTGGGCGATAATGAAGCCGGCACCTGAGGGAAAGAAAGGAAAAAAACAAAACAAAACAAAACAACAATAAAAAAGAAAAACAGGCCTGTGTTTCCGAGCAGCAGCCCTGGAGTGCCCCGGAGGTTATGTTCTGAGACAAAATACGGAGGCGAGATACTGTGCGCCAGCTTTTTTCTCTCTTTCTCTCTTTTTCCCCCTCAAAGAAACCCAGCTCAATTTTCCCCCCATTAATTGGCAGCAGATGAAAAAAGAAAAAGGAAAAAAAGCCCAAACAAAGCCCAAAGCATCGCCAGTAACCTGAATGAGCGCGCTGAAAGGGAAAAGCGGTTTGGATTGTTCGATGTCCAAGGAAACCTGGACACACGCTACCAGGGGGACAGTCACAAGTAGATGGAGAGGGGGAGAGAGTCACACGCTGACGGGGAATGGCTGTTAGCAGCTCCTGGCCTGAACGTGGGCTCCTCTGCCGGCCGCATCTCTAGGACCAGACACTGCTCTGCAAGGGAAACTTCGACCAGATGAAGGCAGGGTGCAGGGGTCCCTGGAGACGTGAGATGCTGGCGCTGCCATCTACGCTAGTAAAGCTACAGGCAAGTGTGAGCCACCGGTGGTACCTGCTGGAGTCAACACATTCAAAGAGCAAAGGCAGAGGCCAGAGTGACAGTACAGCAGGTAGGGTGTTTGCCCTGCATGTGTCTGACCCGGGTTCAACCCCTGCATCCCACATAGTCCCCTGGAGCACAGCCAGGAGTAATTCCTGAGTGCAGAGCTGGAAGTAAGCCTCAAGCATCACTGGGTGTGATCCCCAAATCAGTAACCAAACGAATAAAGAGCAAAGGCAGAGCTGCTGGGAATTCCCCTCCCATCAGGGGACCCAGCCTTTTCTGAGGACAGGACCTACTGAGAAGGGTCAGCTCCCGCACCCAGGACCCTGCAGCCCCTGGGGCTTGCTGGTGGGAGGGGAGGTGGGGCTGCCTCCCCTTTCCTGAGGTAGGACTGGGCCCTCTGGTCCCAGTCTCTTTGGTACTTCTGTTTGGACAAATAACTCCTCACTCGTCTTCTCATTCACACACACAACAAAGAAATCCTGGGACTAGACTCCCTCAAAGGACACTGAGGAAATCTGAGGAAAATGCCAGAAGAGGTGAAAGCTCAGCGCCTGTCTTTGAAGACGGCCTCGAGACGACTGACAGCTGTGTGTGTGAGGCTTGAGACGCATCAACAGCGAGGACCTTGGTTGCCAAGGAAACAGATTTGGCTACACCCCTCTGAAATCCTCAGCCGTTACCCGCAGGTACGGTACAGCCGGGCACCATGCCAGCCCTCTCTGTCTCCACAGCAGAACTCGAGTCAGAGCCACGGCGACTCCTCACCTTCCAGATACCCCAGAGATGGGCAGACTCAGACAGATCCTCCTCCGGGGGCCCCTAGCACCCACCTTCTATTCCACGGAAACTGGCTGGGCAGGCAGGGAAAGGTGCACTTGGAGAAAGTGCCAGAAATTGGTGGTAGCTGGAGTCCACAGAACCCAAGTCTGTGGGAACAACTTTGAGACCTGAGAGGCAGGGTGAGGGTGAGGGTGAAGACAGGGCTAGGGCTAGGATCGGGATTACACTTAAGGCGAGGGTTAAGGTTAGTGTGAGGGTGAGTTAGGGTAGGGTGAGGGCTAGGGTTTAGGTTGGGCTCTGGTATAAATGGAGACTAAAAATCAGGATGAAGGGCAATGTTAAATTTCTGGTGATTTGGAGGGTTTAGGCGAAGGCTAGGTTAGGATTGGGGTTCGGGTGAGGATTAGGGTTTAAGTTTAGCTACAGTGGATGTCGAGAATGAAAGTTATGGCAATTGGTAGGTTTATTTTTATTTATTTTTTCTTTTTGGGTCACACCCGGCGATGCACTCAGGAGTTACTCCTGGCGGTGCTCGGGGGACCGTATGGGATGCTGGGAATCGAACCAGGGTCGGCTGCGTGCAAGGCAAACGCCCTACCCGCTGTGCTATCGCTCCAGCCCTGCAATTGGTAGGTTTAGTTCAAGACACGGTAGTGGCTAGAAACTAGGCTGGGGTCAGGACTGGGGCTAGGATGAGGGTGAGAGTGAGCCATAAATTTAAGGTGATGGTTTAGGCTAGTGTGAGGGGAATTGTTAGTGCTAGGGTTTAGTTCAGGGTTAGTGTCATGGTTATGTCTGAGGCCGAGAACACCAAGGTTACTAGTTTTGAGAGTTATGGTTGGGGTTAGTTATGGTTATGGTTAGTTACCATTAGGTTTAGAGTTATGGGGAGGATTGGGGCTAGGGAAATGTTAGGTCCAGGGCTTGGGCTAGGGTTAGATATAGGGGTCGAATGAGGATGAAGCTGAGGATATGACTGAGAGGGTTAGGCTTACGTTTAGGGTTCGGTTTTTTGTGGGGGGGGGGATAGTGAAATTTTATTTTTACTTTTTTATTAGTGAAACACCATGACGTACAGTTGTAGACTTAACAATTTTTGTGCTTGGGTTTCAGTTATACAATGATCAAGTAACAAAATAGAAGACTAACACCCAAGAGTGGCCGAGATTAGTACCAGGAATTTTGCTCCATGGCTTGGAGGCCAGCCACACATGCTAGGGGGAAAGGGAGCTCAGATAGAGAAGGGAGCACCAAACAGAGGGTGTTGGGAGGATCCTCCCAGGATGGGAGAAGCATGCTGAAAGTAGACTATAGGGTTCGGTTTTGAGTTAAGGCTTGAAGCATCTTCCGAGGCTGCTGGTTTCTGAGAGTTAGAGGAGGGCTAAGGCTACAGCTGGTAGTTAGGCATAGGCTTAGGGTTCAGACGAGGGTGAGGATGAGCATCAGGGTTTGAAGTTGGCCTAGGCCTAGGCCTAGGGTTATGGTGAGGACTAGATCTGTGGCTCAGAATAGGTGCAATTTTGGGCTAGCGTTAGGCTGAGACAGAATGGGATGAGAGTGTGAGTATTAGGGTTATTACTGCGAGTCAAGTGGTGCTCCAGGGGACGAGACCCGGCTGGGCTGAATGAAACGCTATGAGCAGGATTTGGACTAGGTAGGTGAGGAGAGAACAGCCTTATCCTTTCTCTGTCCTAGCTCTCTGGCCTCTCCAACTTATTTTTTTTTTTAAACTTTGGGTTACACCTGGCGATGCTCAGGGCTTACTCCTGGCTCTGCCCTCAGGAATTACTCCCATGGCAGTGCTCAGGGGACCACACTGGATGCTGGGGATCGAACCCAGGTTGCCCACGCCAGGCAAACACCCTCCCCGCTGTAGCATATCACCCAGGCCCCCAACCTCTCCATCTGTGACTGCAGTGTGGTGACGGAGATACAGCAGGAGCTGAGGTATAGAGCAGCACCAGGTCACTTGAAACCTCTGCCCAGGGAACAGGCAGCAAATCAGAAGGTAGGATAGAATGGTTGGGGGCGAGATTTTGGCTACAGGTAACAGGAAGCCCCGAGTCAGCCCCTCTCTCTTCTCTCTTTTCAGAACACGCATTCTCTGGCCCCACCTCTCTCTTCCAGGACCCCCAGGTCAGTTAGGGCTGCGTGAGCCTGTAAGGGCCTGGTACAGGTGGGCGGCTCGTGGCCAGACAGGGGCAAAACTCAGGCAGGGCTTAGACGCCCGGGAGGGGATCTAGTGCTGAGCATGGGACCCTCACTCACGCACGTGATCATGGCCAAAGAGTAGGAAAACTGAGACTAGACTACAGGAACTGTTGGGACACAGCTGGGAGTCTCAGTGACGGCATGGAACACGGGGATCTTGTCCTCCCCACCCCTCCCACATACACATGGGACTGTGGCCAGGGACCGGGAAGGCACCCATACAGAGAGCAGCGTGGAACAGGAAAGTTGTTCACAGGACTGGGCAGCCCAGGGACAGGACCTGGTCATCATTCATGGATAAAGGAAAGGCCTTGGGCATGGGGGGAGGGACCTGGAGCCATCTACCTTTTCTGTAACAAACTTTAATATTTCTGAGTTTTGTATGCAAATTTTTCATACAATTCTTTTTTTTTTCTTTTTGGGTCACACCAGCGATGCACAGGGGTGGTTACTCCTGGCTCATGCACTCAAGAATTACTCCTGGTGGTGCTCAGGAGACCGTGTGGGATGCTGGGAATCGAACCCGGACGCCCCCCTACCCGCTGTGCTATCGCTCCAGCCCCTCTCTCATACAATTCTCAAGAACCCACCAGCACAGGAAAATCTGCTTTTGGGCTAACAGGGGGAAGGGGAAATAAACCCAGCACCTCAGGGTCTGTCAGTGCCTGCCTGGGGCAGGGGGCGCCTTGCTGCTAAGTTTGGGCTCAGATGGAGAGTGAGTGTGGGTGACCTGAGCTCTCCCCTGGGGTGCAGCATGACAATAAGGCCTAGTGGACCCAGAGCATCCCTGGCCTCTGGGTGCAAGTTCTGCTCATCTCAGAGAGGACGAGGGCCTGCTCCGAGCAGGGAGTGGGGCCAGGGCCTCTCCTGGACGCCTGGGGGGCCGGGCCCTGGAGGGCTTCATGCAGCGCTTCAGCCACGGGTGTGGACACTCCTGCACCCTCCTAGATGCTGCTCTGGGATGAAACCAGCAGGTGATGCCGCCCCCGCGCCCCCTCTGCCCCCATCCCCGCCGAGGTATAGAAAACAAAGGGAGAAGAATGTATATATATATATTAAATGACTATTTTATTTACACACCCTATTCATAAATAATTGAATCCTTGTTTGGACGACACAATGATTCCTTGATGGTCTAATGATTACACTTGAGTGAGTGAAAGTGGATCCGTGGGCTGGCTCATAGCAATGGTGGAGGACCATGGCTCTCACACCTCACAGGGGCTCCTTAGGCACCCCTCGGGGCTCCCAGCACTAGGGGGCGTGGTGGGGAGATCTGGTGGGATTCCGGAAAGCTTGAACACGGGAGACTCCACCTGGGCCCAGCCCTGCCCGCCTGCCGGCCCAGCCCTGGCCCCGGCCCTAGGAGCTGCAGCCTTTGTTCAGGTTGCAAGGCATCTCTTTGGATTTGCAAATATTTTAATTCACAGGAACTCAAGGAAGGGGTGGGGGCGGGTTGGTAGTGAGCAGCTGGTCCCTCGGGGTCTCCGGGTGTCTCCAGTGTCCGGTCCAGACTGACTCCAGCTCCTCTGCCCCACATCCGCCCCTGTCCCTCTCCCGGGAAGTGGCGACAGCATTCTAGAGACATGCGGTGGTGGCGTGCCACTACCATGCGCACGACACAAAGTGGACGGGGCCGGTGGGCTCACAGGGTCCGCACGGCCACCGGGTAGAGGAGGGACAGGTGCTCGGCTCCTTTGATGGGGAGCTTCCTGGTGGTGTAGTAGTGGATGACTTCTGGCACGCTGTCGAAAGGCGGGCTGTTCTGACCCAGAACGTATTTCTCTTTGGTTTTGGCCAGTTTCATGTGCATGAAGCCCTGGTTGCTCCTGTGGACAGAGCAGAGGATGATGAATGTCTGTCCTGAGCCATGCGAGACAACTCCCCCTCCCCCCCCAAACACACACCCGCAACGCAGGAAGCTGGGCAGTTGGTGCTCTGAACCTGTCCCACGCTTGGGGGAGACGCCCTTCCTCTGCTTCCCAAGCTCTCGGCCAGGACTTTCACATACCCCCCTTATGGTTTTGTTGCCACCGCTGTGGATAGCTGCGTCCCAGGTCCACCTCATGAGAGGCCCCAGGTCCTATGTCCCTGCTCCCTGCCTCCACTGGACTCTGTCCCCTCGATAACCTGGGACCAGCCCACGGGGCCCAGCTTTAGGGAGGCCCGAGGCGGGCTGCAGGCAGTGTGCTGATGGGGATACTGGGTGGGGAGCCCGGGGGGGTGGGAGGGTGGGGGGGCGTGCTCTACTCAGCCCCTCCAGCCAGGTCCAGCCCCCCCACCCCCACTTAGCCATGTGCGGGTCTGGGCTCCAGGACCATCTCGCACTGGGCAGAGCCCCCTCGGTCTAATGAAGTGCGGGCGGCGCGGAGCAATACATCTGCGCCTAAGAACGTATTTAGAGATGTCACCCTCGGCTTAAAGGAAATCGTTCGGAGAGCAATTAGGCTCCAAGAGAGAATAATTCCGGTAAAGAAGTGAAATTTAAATCAAGCTTTTTTTTTTTTAAAAAAAAAAAGGCTGACAATGTTCTAATTACAGAGCCCGTGGCAAGCTCTGCTCCTCTGTGAGGGGTCATTCCGCGGGAAAGGCACCGGCTGCGGCAGTGAGCACAGGGGGCACGCAGTCAGGGCTGTGTGTGTGTGTGTGTGTGTGTGTGTGTGTGTGTGTGTGTGATGGGAAGGGGGCGGCACAGCTGTGCTGAGGGGGTCAAGGGGAAAGGAGACCGGAGCATGACGACACAACCCTGCACCCTCCCCAACACACGTGGAGAATCCAGGGGCTGCCCTGCCCACGAGACAAACGGGGTGATGAGTTGGGGTGTCGGTGACCTCAGGATTCTCTAGGGGGTATGGGAGTGGGGGGGGGCGTGCCATGAGCCCAGCTCTGTCCCAGCACCCTGGTGGGAAGGGGCAGCGCCGGGGCAGAACACAAGTGTTACTGATTTCAGTCTCCGGCAGATTTCGAGGACTCAGGGACCGTTTCTCTTTGGGGTCTAGAAGCTCTCAGTAGGAGCAGTGGCAGAGACCCATGAACAGTCCTGTCCCCAGGGGCCACCAGGTGTGAGGACGCCACGGGATGTGGCGCCAGCCAGGGAGGCAACCCCTGGCACCTCCCGCAGTACCTCCTGACATGGGGTTTCTGAATGTTCCCCCCCCCCCCCCCCGCCACCCCGACGCTCAGAGGCTTCCAACCCATCTGGGCGGGATGGATGCGGCGTGGGAAGTGGGAGAGGCCTGTGCTCTGGCCCTCACCCCGGAACCCCCGCAGGCTCCGACCTTACCGGTCTTGCTGTCCTTCCTCCTTGAGGGCTCCCTGTAGGAAGCGGCCTGGGGGCTTGGGTGCTGCCCTTTCCCTGCTGCCCGCGTTCTGCCATGAGCCAAGCTGGGCAGTGGGCTCTGAGGTGGGATGGGGTGGCCAGCCCCAGGCTCCAGAGTCCCCAGCCGGGCTGTGGCTTCTTTCTCTTCCCTCCCAGGTGAATTCAGGCCAGGAGAGGCCCGACTTAGCCCCCCCCACCCCTCTTCCGGACTGCGCTGCAGGCGAGACTCTAGAACCCCAGCAAGGGACTCTGTGACCCTAGTGAGCCCCAGTCTCTGGGGTGTCTCCTCGGCCAGACCAACGGGGTCAGGGGGGTGGTGGTGTCAGGAATAGGGGCCTTCTACAGCTCAGGCCAAGGTACTCCCAGACCCCGATCAGCCCCGAGGTCCCAAGGAGCCAGATGTCCCTGAACAACAACTGATTTGTTATTCATTTTTTGAGGCCACGCTTGGCAATGCTCAGGAATCCCTCCCTGAGGTGCTCAGAGGACCATTTATGGGACGCGAGGGTCGGCTGTGTGCTAGGCAAGCGCCCTCCCTGTTGTCCTATCTTTCAGGTCCAGCGGGGCTTTTTAATTTTTGGCTATACCCGGGGATGCTCCAGGGCCATTCCCAACTCTGTGCTCAACGGGGAGCACGTGTGGCAGGGACCAAACCCAGGACCCCTGCGTGCAATCGCAGCCCCAGCCCTTGAGCTATCTCTCTGGTCTGTGTGTGTAGCGTTGCGTCACTGTTGTTCATCGATTTGCTCGAGCGGGCACTGGTAACATCTCCACCTGGTGAGACTTGTTGTTACTGTTTTATCGAACACGCCACGGGGAGCTTGTTAGGTTCTGCCGTGCGGGCGGGATACTCTCAGTAGCTTGCCGGGCTCTCCGAGAGGGCTGGAGGAATTGAACCCGGGTTGGCTCACCCGGGTGCAAGGCAAACGCCCTACCCGCCGTGCTATCGCGCAGCATTGTGTGTGTGTATGTGTGTGTGTGTGTGTGTGTATATATATGTACGTATATGTATATTTATATATTTTGCAGTGCCGGGAGATGGTACCCATGGCCTCTCACACGTGAGCTGTATCTCTGACCGACAGCTGAAATTTGGCTTGGTTGATTCATAACTTCCCACCCCAGATACATACGGCCAGAGGAATTTAAAGGCCGGCTTTCCAGCATGGGTGTGTGGCCTCAGCACAGAGAGTGGGGGTCGGGGGGGGGGGCGGGGAACACAGCCCGGGAAAGACTTTCCATCCAGGGGGGAACTGGGAGGAGAGTGAGCTCCGAGAAAGCAAAGCAAGACTCTGGACAAAGCCAAGACCCAGCAAGGTGGGCCACAAGCCTGCCACGGAACCTGGGGGTGGGGGCCCTGGCCCACACTCTCACCACCCACCGCATTCGTGCGGAGAGCGCCTGACTTGCTGGCTCCCGCATCTCCTTTGATCGGCGTCTTTTGAGGCAAATCACAGCGAGGCGTGTCTCTGGCGGGTGACCTGTGTTCACGCGTTCTGTACGGCGGCTGGGGGCCAGCGTGCGGGGCTGCGTCGCACACACATCCCCTCATTATCATCACAAAAAGGCTCCCCCTTGTCACCAGGATTATCAAAACGTGCCGCGTGTGTGCGCGCGCGCGCGCCGGGTCTAATGACAGGCCCCCTCTCCGGCTCATAATCACGGGCTTTAATAAAACATCACTCAGCCCGCAGCTGTGGGGCCGGGCAGGGTGCGGGGAGGCCTCACCTCTCTCTTCCAGACCTAATTGCTTGATGCATATTTCATGAAGATTCCCGGGTAATAGTTATGTTAAATCGCTTCTTTTCATGATAAAATGACTTAAAAAAATACTTGCATATAATATTTATGCGGGAGGAGGCAAGGAAATTGCCCTTTGGGAGGGGAGCTGGGCTGGCAGGAGCCAGGGTGCCCCCCCCCTCACAGAGTGCACACGGGGAGGGGGCTTGGGGGACACCTCCACTTCATCTCTGAGGAAAGGCAGGAGGGGGCGGCTGTCCTTCTCCAGGCTCTCCCAGAATGCTGGGCACGTGGTTCCCGGGAGCCACGGCAGATGAGTGTCCCTCGATACCAGGCAGGCCCTCTCCAGACCCCATAGCCCACTGAGGCGACACACGCCGGGGCTGGGGCTGATTATCACTATTCATGGACAGGAAGAGGAGGATACGGAGAGGTGGAACCTGCACTGGGGTCCGTCTGACTCCCAAGCACACGAGTTCTCATGGCAGCCTGATGTTGGCGTCCCGAAGTGCCCACAGCGGTTCCATCTTCCTGCACGCTGCCTGCAGCCCAAGGGGCCCAGCGCCCTGGGGTTGGGGTGGGAGTGTGCTCGGAGGCCAGTTCCGTCCAGAAAGGTGCTCCCCTGAGCCCCGAGAACTTCTGGACCAGGAACCGTCTTTTCTCTCTCTCTCTCTCTCTCTCTCTCTCTCTCTCTCTTTTTTGCTTTTTGGGTCACACTCAGCGATGCTCAGGGGTTACTCCTGGCCTTGCACTCAGGAATTACTCCTGAAAGTGCTCGGGGGACCATATGGGATGCCGGAGATCGAACCCAGGTAGGCCGCGTGCAAGGCAAACGCCCTCCCGCTGTACTATTGCTCTGGCCCCATGGAACCGTCTCTTTAATAGTGACTTTTCTTAGCCTCACCAACTTACTTCTCCCCCAGCCCTTTGCAGGTGCCTGGCACACGGACTCTCCATCCAGTCCATCCAGTCAGCCAGCAACTGGGTCTGCTTGGGGGGCCACATCTTGCTGTGCTCAGGGCTCACTCTTGGCGGGGCTCACAGACACTATCATCATGGGGGCGCTGGGCATGGGACGGGGCTCAGGGAACATGCGTAGTGCCAAGCAAGAGGTGGCACTCCTGCTCTCTCTCTCTCTCTGCCCGGGCCCCCAATTCTAAGTCCCACACCTCCCTCATCCATCACCACAGATTGTTCTCCTTGGAGAGGGCACTAGAGGTCCCCCTGCCCACTGCCCCGCGGTGACCAAGGTCAAGTGTAATGCCCACGGGGTCATGGGCCTGAATCAGCCTGTCCGATTCCTCGGTGGAAGGGACACAAAGCAGAACTGGCTAAAGAAAGCTCCGGAACGGGGCCTGGGTGACAGCACCTGCCAGGGAGAGGGTCACACTGGCTTTCTCAGCAAAGGGCAGCTGGACCGTGAGACCAGGGGCCCCTCCTGGGTGAGGAGGGCGCAGATGCGAGATCTGAGACAGGACCCACTGTGGGTGCCTCTGGACACTCAGGGACAGGCCTGGCCATAAGCCCAGGTCCCGGAGACTCCCCAGATCTGGGTCCGAGTCTCTGCCTTCTCAGCTGAGCTTCTCTCTGTGCCTCAGTTTTCCCCTGGTTCACCCCACCAGGAGGATGGCTCTGAGGTCTGAGCTGGACAGTGCTTGCTGGGCACTGGCTGGCTAGCAGCTGCGGCGGCGGCTTACGGGGAGGGGGCTCTGGCAGGGCTAGTTCTTCGCCTGCCCTGGACCCCAGGAGCCTGAGCCCGTTGCTGCCCAT